GTCCCACAGGCACTGGGAGAGCGTCTGGCTACTGTGTCGTCTGTCATTCCCAGTACCACCAGTGTCACAGGCCACACCACAGCCAGGTGTGTTTCAAAAACACAAAAAGAGGTACGACATTCTGACCCGTACCACCCACCGAAAAGCTGTGCGAACACCACAGAAGGAAGTGTGAGCCCTGGCAAGCACATATGTGAATGGAGACACTGTTACAACCACAGCTGTGGGCCTGAAGGATAGGGCATGCCCCCAGCCACCCCGGCTGTCCCCCACTGTGAGCACCGAGCATGAGTACAGGGTAAGCCTCATGGAAGGAGTGCTTGCTTTCTGGCTTCATCATGATGCACTGACAGGGTTTTACTCTAATTATCTATTGTGGGCCACACCTACCACCAAGAAGTGCCATCAGTGCACCTAGCAGAGCTTGAGGGGTCCAGGATAGGTACCAAGGACCAAGACAAATTCCCAAACTCTGAGAAGAATTTGGCTTTCTTAACTACTTTGTTATGGGCTGGAGAGATGGTATAGGCGGTAAAACTCTTGCTCAAATTCCCAGCTCCACATATCCTAACACTGTCAAGAGTCACTCCTGAGCACCACCAGGTATGGCCAAACACACCATGACATGAACTAGGCTCACCATTTAGTCAGAATATTTTTTATATAACAACTTTTTCTTCCTGATGGTGCTCAGGGCTAAATCTTGGTGCTCACAGATCATTCCTGGGACCATGCAAGGGATGAAACTGCATGCAAGGCAAGGCAAGTGTCCTACCCACTGTACTATCTCTCCAGCTCCCAGACAAGGATTTTAAAAGAGTTACAACTATCTCAAGGTAGTTATTAAAAATATGCTTATGTAGAATAAATAAGAAATTCCTGAGAAACAGAAACTATTAAAAAATTATAACTAAATGAAAATTTCAAAACCAAAAATTCAAGTATTTGAAAGAATGTGGGAAAAAGTGAATATCCTGGATTCTAGCCTGGAGGGGCAGGTTTCTGGGAATTACTCAGATAGAGGCAGGTGTTCAAAGGGCACCCGTTAGAAAACATGACAAGTGTCCTTCTAAGCCTGTGCCCTAGTTCTGTCAAAAGAAATAGAAATAATGTCCTGATAAGCCTTCTGATAACCTCTTACCCTCTGCCCTTCTTCTTTCTGCTTGAACACCTTCTGAGGAGAATACCTGGAGGATGCCTGGAGCTATGGCAGCCATTCTGCACCCTTGAGTGAAGCAGTGAGAGGGGCAGGCACAGAGGTTAAGCCAAAATCCTGATAAAGGAAGCAGATCTGCCGAACACTGCATGACAACCCCCACCTCTGGAGTTCTCCTGATGTAGACAATAAGCTGCTATTACTTTGCTACTAACACAGCATACTCTTAACTGGTTTCTCTTGAAGAATGAGAGATCTGGCAATACCTGACCTAGCCCAGCCCCTTCCAGGCAATGAGCCTGCAATTCTGCCTCCCCCCCCCACCCCGAGACGGCTCAACTGTGCTCTCTCCTAGAGCACTTCCTGATTCCTGATTCGCCCCCAACCCCACGCCCCACCAACCTCAAGGAGCTGGAGCAGTTCTCCTTCCTGTGCGTTCCCACACATTCACCACTGCCATTTCTCCCCTTCCTGTCTCTTGCTGGAATTGCTCCCCTCCTTATGAGGCAGGGCCCTATTCATCCCTCTCTCCCACTCCCACCCACTGAAGTGCCCGAACACAAACAGGCAGGTATGTCTGCAGGACCCTGATACTGAAGGGACAACCCCTGTGAAGAAGAATGCCAGTCTTCCCGAACATTCCATTACCTACATTCATCCAGGAGGTTCTTCTTCAGTAGTGACACTGCCAGCAGTTCTGGCGGTGGGGGACCACGCAGTGCCCGGGATTAAACTCAGGGCCTCACTTATGCTAGGCACCTACTTTCCCCGTTGAGATCCCCGGCCCCTCATCTGAGGACTTTAATGCATGACTTGTGCTGTTTCTAGTCTGGAAAAAGAAACCCCACCATACCCCAAAATTCCCACTAACCCAGGGCCACTCAGCTCCATCTTCCAGGGTGCATAGAAATCTATGAAGTGGGTACTCATGGGGGTCCCTTCACAATGAATTTCAAAGATCCATAAAATCAAGTTGTGATACGACAAGGGGTGATTCTGTTATGCCCTACCTGGGTGTGGGAAGGCCTGACCCTCCTTCCCCCTTTGGAGATCATTCAGGAGAGGAGCAGAGGAGCTCACAGTGCTTGGGAAGATCTGGATGGCTCGCATGGGTGAGTGAGTGCCCCGTGTATCCTGGTCTGGAGTCCCTGGCCTCATCCAGCCCGGGGGCAGCGCTTCTCTTTTTTAAGAGTCTGTCAGCCTGTCCCGCCGCCTCCTGTTTTCTAAATAAAACTATTTTCTTCCTGTTTTCTAAATAAAACTGTTTTCCTTCAGTGAAAGCCTAAACCTGACAGAGATGGGACTGAATGTTTTCTGTGAGGGGCATCACCGTGTCTCTGAGAATCTGCCCCCAATTCTGGCGGGATGGACCAGCTCCCACACCACAGCGCAGAGTCAGGGGGGCTCAGGGAAAGCTAGGTGGAAGGTCCAGGACCCGGGGCCTGCTAGTGACTCACGTCGGATCACCTCAGCTCTCCCCAGGCAGGAACCGGCTTTGATAAAGGTGGTTATACAAGACTGTTCCCCAGGGAGGTCCGGGAAAAATTGCGGCACCACAAACTTCAGGCAAGAGTGGCCACTTACACATACTCAGATGCCCCCTCAGGGCTGAAGAGAGAGGCCAGGCAATGTGGAAACGCATGCAAGCACGCACCTGGCTCCAGAGCCCTGCCTGGGGCTGTACAGGGATGGGCAGAGTGACCCACACCCGACACTGCTGACTAGCTTCCATTTAAGTTTAGACTGTGTCCTCAACTGGTGGCCTGGCCTCAGTTTCCACTTCGGTGCCTCCACTGCTGGATCCCAGCTCTTAGCTCTGGGTCTGTGTGATTTTAAATTGTTGTAAAAATATAGGTAACAAAACATCCCATTTTAACTATTTTAAGCGTCCAGTTCCTTCGAATTGTTATGCACTTGTTACCTAGTCTATTTCCAGCACCTTCTCACCATCCCAAATGGAAACTCTCCCCATTAAATACCAAGGGCCCATCCCACTAGTCCACTTTACCCAGACTCCTCCTAGGAATGGAATCCCAGTGTTTGTCCTTTTGTGAGGACTGAGAATAACGCCTCAAGGTTAATCTCTAACTTTAAGAATTTCCTTCCTTTTTTCCATTACCACAGGGCTACACCCAGTGATGATGGCAAATGGAGGTGTGGGGGCAGAAGGAAGGGGCTCCTGAGGCCAGTCCCTGTGATGTTCAGCTTGGAGTTTCAGGTTTGATGTTCAATGCCCAGTGGAGCTTGGGGTTCACAAAGACAACACCTGGCAGTGCTTCAAACATGGCAGGCAGTGCTGGGAATCAAACTCTGGGTTTCACGCATGGCAGACATGTATTCTACCACTTGAAACATATGCCTGGATGTCTTTCACTCTTAAGGCTAAGTAATATTCCATTTTGTTTACTGTTCCTGCATCAGCAGTGTCTGAGCTGTTGTGAAGTCTGCTATGAGCAAGTGTGTGCAACAATCTCCACTCAAATCCTGCCGCCTTTACTTCTGTGCATCAGGCCTTGGCCTTGCCCCGATCAGCTGGGATCCTAACTTTGAGCATGGAATTCCTAGGCCAGCTCTCCTCCTGTCAGGCAGGGAGTCCTCTACAGGCGGCACTCTCAGAGATAAACTCCAGGGCACAGAGCATCAGAGCAGAGCTACTTGGTGACTCGAGATAAGTACTGGGTCCCTCCTGATGGAGGAGTGTCAGGGATTGCAGCAAGAAGGGGAGGAGGGAGAGAGAAGGGGAGAGAGAGAGAGAGAGAGCTGTCCCCGCCCCTCCCCCCTGAAGGAGCGGCCACATACCACTGCATGGAGAAGAGCAGAGCTGGACAAGGGAGGCCTCTGTTCCCAAAAGGGCAGGCATGCTGCAGAGGCGGCCCAGCGGCCTGAAAGGGCAGCTCGGGCCACAGGGGCAGAGGTTAGGAAAAGAGAGAGGCCGTGGAGACTGGTACTATTCAGAGAACCTCAATTAGAGGGGTCTCAGCCTGGGGGTGCGGGCTGGAAAATGGAATGCTGTATTTGATAGATGGTGCCAGCGCAGGCAACTTAAGCTGGAGACACACTAACTAGAATTCAAAGGGCTGGGGGTGGGGGTGTCATGGTGCATCTTGGCCCTGTAACTTTGGCCTTCAGAGTTCGGTACTTTAATGGAGTCGTCAGACTCCAACCAGTGGCAAAGGCGAGACACCTAGGGCTCTCACCATCTGCAGTAAGTAACTTTAAACTGGTTACTTGATATTTTTTTGGTGCCTAAGTGTCTAGGCTCAGATCCCCAATGGTCATGCCTGGAGGATACAGCCATAAGAAAGGAAATTCACTGCTTCTGAATGTAAGGCATTTGGGATGACTTGAACACATCCCTTAAAGTCAGGACCAAGGCACAGACTGGAAGCTGCCATTCTAGTTTGTGCTAAATTCAGGGGCTCTTCTGACACCCCAGACACAAGACTACATAAGGCCTGATCCTCCGGTAGGGGAGTAAACCGTGCATGCACACAACACCTGAGTACACAGACAGACAGACAGACAGACAGACACACACACACACACACACACACACACACACATTCTGAGCCTAGGAGCTTTCTGGATATGAATACAAATGCTCCTGAACTCTCCCGGGGACTCTCAATATAATTTTTCTATGCAGAGAATTCCCCTTACAGTCTGTTCAGGGATTTGGCCAGAGTGCGACATGGATCAGAGACCAGATCCAGGTGTCATGGAGCCTGCAGGCTTAGCCATGTACCACTGCCCGAGCCAGAGCTGGGGCCAGCTGGCACCATGGCCCCACGTGCTGCTCGCACCGGCTCTGAGCACAGTCACCACATTACACCCCAGCACTGACCGGTATGACGGAAGAGCTCATCCACACTGAGATCCCACAGCAGATCAAAGGCCCGTGAAGAAGTTTCTGGAGGCCATGTCAGCAGCTAGAAGGAAAGGGTGGAAAAGGTTAGCTGGCTCATTTCCATGAAGAAATAGTAGTGAACTTTTCTTACTCATATTCAATCACTTCATTTAACCCTCACAAACCCCTGTGGCAATCATTATTATCATATGACTGATGAGGAAATCAATTCTAGTTCCCCTGTGTCACACAGCATGTAAGTAAGTAGCAAAGCCAGGATTTGAGCCCAGATCTGTAGAACTTAAAATCTCTTACTCTATTCTACCTCATATTGGAGTCTTGATTTCAAGACACCAGAACTTGGCCTTCTTCCTCCTTTCATACTTTTTTTTCTTTTGGGGGTTGGGGTCACACCTGGCAATACTCAGGGGTTACTCTTGGCTCTGCACTCAGGGATTATTCCTGGCAGGCTCAGGCGACTACATGGGATGTAAAGGACAGCACCCAGGTTGGCAGTGTGTAAGGCAAATGCCCTACCTGCTGTATTACCGCTCTATCTGCTCCTTTTGTGCATCATCCTACCTGAATACTTGATTATTTCCCAATAAGACCATGAACTCAATGAGAGCAAGTGCTACCATCCTGTTTACCCCCTACCAAGGCTCACACTAGGGCTTCAATATGAACGGATATAAATCATGAGCATCAAGGCCAAAGCTTTTTGCTATCCACTCCATCTACTCTGCTCATGCCCTCCCGAGATGGGGGGTGGGATGGGACAACTGGCAAGGCAAATGCTCCTTAAAGAGAAACAGTGTAATGAGGGCTGGAGAGACAGTACAGTAGGTAGGGCGCTGTGGCATCCATCTGTTGTATCCCACCTGGTCTCCCAAGTCCACCAGGACTGATCCCTGAGCACAGGGCTAGGACTAAGCCCTGAGCTGCTCTGAATGTCCCAGGCAGAAAAAGGAGTAAGGACCTAGACCACCTCTAACCTTCAGCCCTGCTTATTGAGCAAAACTTAAAGAAGCCCGAGTCTCAGTTGCTTCCATCTTGTCTTGAACATGAATAGACTACCCTGCTCTCAGAGTTCCCTATTCCCCCTGCAGATTCCAAACTCTGAGCCAGGCATGAGCCCATCCTATGGAAGCGTAAGTTTCACTCAGCCATCATTTCACTAGCACTGCTCACTCTCAAAGGGAGTTAGAAGGTCAGAGAGAGGGCCTCCTTGCATGCAGCAGACCCAGGTTCAATCCCCCAGCACCCCACATGGTGAGCCTGAGCCTGCCAGGAATGATCCCTGAGAGCAGAGCCCAGGAGTCAGCCCTGAGCACTGCCGGGTGAGGAAACAGTGGGATGAGCAAAGTGAACAGTCCTCTAGACCAGGATTCATGCGAGCCACCAGCAGCTCTGGGGACCTACTATAGCTGCCTTTCACTGTGGGGGTGGGGCACAGAACCCCTGTGAGGCCGGTCAAGCAGTACTTCTTGGCTATGGGACCCCAGGAGCAGTGAGGCAGAGTCTTCCTTCCTGTCCTGGAGCCCCGCCACACCCTGCGGCCCCAGCAAGCACCCACAACCACCCGCTGTTTTTTTTCCCCAAGGTGTGTCACACATGTGCTCCTCCATGGAGCCTCATCCGACTAACACCGCCAGCTCTGTCAGAGTCCCCTCCCAGGCAGAGATAGCCCCCAGGGCCATCCCCAAGCATTTTTAACAAGCAGTATGAGGGTATGGACACTGAGCACCAAGACCACCCTCCATGTACCCCTGCCCCCCTTTCCCAGGTCCTGTCCCGAGTGCTGAGCAGTTCTCCAAGGATGTATGAGTGCAGGAATGAATACATTCCACTGGGGCTCCAGGAAGGAAAACCAAACCCTCGGAAGTAGCTAAGTCCATCCTGCTGAGGCCTGTGGAGTGACCACGTGAGGGACCCAGCCAGGCTGACATCAGCCCTAGCCTGTCCTTCCCTCTGGAGACGACAACACTGGGCAATCTTGCCCTTCACTGATCTGCCTGCAACTTCGTGTGTATATGTGTGTGTTGTGGGGAGAGGAGGGGCTCTCAATTTGTCCCTCCTCCAGATGAACCACATTCTTTCTAGATCATGCCCCAGACTGGACAGATCAAGGGAAGTGGGGTGAGGCCCAGAGGACAAAGAAACTCCCAGGATTTCCTCATTTAACCTTCAAGTGGGACTGTGGGCGCCAGGGCACAGGCTCAGGCCCTGCTCTGGAGCTGACCTTCAAACACTTGTCCAAGGTCCCCAGGCGTGAATGGCAATGCTGGTCTCACACCTGTGAGTCACTGTGACACACTGTGACAGTGTCAGGCACTGGGATAGCTCCATGCACTGTGGGGGTCACACAAGAACCCTCTGTGGGTGACATCTCAGATGAGTGCTTTGTGCCTCTAATCCGCATTCCCCCCACCCCCCCGCCCCTTGTGAATCTGTCATATCCCGTGCAAGGAGCAAAGGGAAGTTGCCTGGACAGGGCATAGAATAATGAGCACACTGTTCCCTGCCAGCAACCCCCCACCCCCACCTCATGGGGCCAGGGCAAGAACCACAGACCAGAGCACTGGAGGGCTTAGGGGGCTGATGTGTTTTGGTGGTAGGGAGGAACTGGAGGAATCCTAGAGGGAAGGAGTGGACCCACTTACTCAGGAGGCAGCCAGGCAGCAGGTGGGGGAGAACCTGAACAATAACCCCAATATGACACCTGTATTATTATTTTGTTTTGGGGCCACACCCAACCATTTACAGGGCTTTCTATTGGCTCTGAGCTCAGGGATCACTCCTGCCAGGGCTCTGGGGACCATTTGGGATACTGGGGATTGAGGCCAGCCCAGGGGGATTGAGCCCAGGGTCAGTCATGTGCAAGGCAAGTGCCCTACCCGCTTAACTATCGCTCTGGTCCCTGGCAGCTCTGATTTATAGCTGGGAGTCCTGGCTCCAACTGGCAGGAACAGGACCAGCTGGGAACTTGTGAACGGTGTGTCCCTGGGCAGGGATGGTTCTTGCTGGGGGTCAAGGCTGGCAAGCCCATACTTCACATTCAGATCATAGCAACTGATTGCAGGACTACCCTGCAGGCTTCTAACTTTCTGAGACCAAAGATTCCACACCCCAGGGTGAAAATGTCTCCCCCACCCAGGGCAAAATGCTCCCACAGCAATCAGAAGGAAAGATGCTGTGCAGAATCCTGTGATGAATTCTCTGCTGCCCCACAGCAGGAAGCAAAAACCCAAACACTGAGCACCTCGGTTCTCAAGGCACAAAAGCCTGGACTTCTGTCACAGCCCATGAGCGCCTGTGAGGCGGCCACAGGTCGGCACCTGTGACTTGGGAGATGGCATGAGCTTTGGACACTGGAATCCTGAGAAGCACAATCTGAAACAATGTTGATTCTGGTGGCACTGGAGATGTCCTGGTGACCAGCCTCCCTCCCTCTCTCTGGGACAAACCAAGAAGTACCTGAGGCCAGAAGCAGGAAAGGAACAACCCCTTCTGCCCAGGAAACTGGCTCAAGACCCCGAGTGGCAGGCCTGTGGTCCTCACCTGGAACAGCCACTGCAGCAGGGGCAGTGGGTGATGGGGAGTGTCCAGGTAGATGGTGCTCAGAAGGCCATTGCACAGATAGGACAGCTGCTGGGCCGGCGGGGATCTGTGTGGACAGAGATGGGGGTTAGGGCAGACCTTAGGGCAGCCCTCTTCCTTGACATGTCCGTTTCAGCAAACTGGGGGGATTTTCACAGTTCAGCTTCACTGGGTCTCGAAAACACATCAGAGGCCACTATGGACAAAAAAGCTTTTAGAGTCTGATGCAAGCTGCTGTTGGGAAGGAGAACCCCAGCCCAACCCCCCATGCCCGGCAGAACGCCTGCTGCTGTGAGCAGGTGCTCCAGTGCTTTAAACACACCTGGGCGCACACTGCGTGCTTTCCACCATCACACAGGGAAGCCGAGGCTCTTAGCAGACTTGAGAATAGGATCTGTGCGGAGCTGAGGAGACCCAGGGCTCACACTCCCTAGCCCAGGGCTCCTGCTGCAGCAGGCAGACAGAATTACCCACAGGGCCATCCAGGGCCAGCGTCTGGGGTCCGGTTACACAGAGCATTTCTGCCCAGTCTTGTGTTTTTCCGAAACAAAGGGGACACCTGAGAAGATGGGAAAATAAGAGAAAGGGGCCCAGAAGAGGGAAATCTGGGAAGGAAAGCACCCCTGCGGGCGCCATGCAGTGGCTGGTTCTGAGCTCTCCCCCCAGGCTCATAGACATCCCGACATCCCTCCCCCTCCAGGGCACTGGCATGGAGCAGCTTTTCTATCAGGCCCCTGACCGGACAAGCGGAAACACTGTGTGCTCTAAGGACCTCACTGGGGGATGTCTCGGCTCCCCTCCCTGTCCTCCTGCTCATTCCCCAGGAGACTGGGGGTGGGGGTAAAATTCTTTCTCCTGTCCTGTGCTTTTCAACCTTTTGATTCCTCTAGACAGCTGAAAACCAAGCCTAGACACTCCACAGGTCAATAAATATGGATTCCAGAAAATAAAAAAGTAATTTCGTATCTATCCATACTCAGGGATTACTCTTGGTGGCGCTCAAGGAACCATATGTGGTGCTGATGATGCGACTGAAGGCATGAGTCCTGCCTGCTGTACTGGGGCTTCGATGTCTGTTCTTTGTGATGGCCAAATCCATTTGGAGAACATGGCTGACAACACTTAAAGCATGATTCTAAAGAGAAATTTCCTCCATCAACCCCACCTTCTTTTCTATTTATTTATATTTCTGGTTTTGGGGTCACACCCAGCGGTGCTCAGGGGTTACTCCTGACTCTGTGCTCAGGAATTACTCCTGGCATGCTCAGGGGTCCATATGGGGTACCATGGATCCAACTCAGGTTGGCTGTGTGCAAGGCAAACACCCTCTGCTGAACTATCGCTCTGGCCCCTCAATCTTCTTTTTTAAAAAGACACATTTTACCCTGCCAGGAACGAAATGCTCCAAATCAAAGATTCTCCTCAGAGCCAAGTTACTGTCTCCGTGAGTATGTCCAGGCAATTACAAACTATATTTCTTCCCCAAATTATTTAAGTTCAGAGGAAAAAGCGGCTTTGTTCCTGTTTGTGACGCTGACTGCTTTGAAACAGACCTTTATTTGTACGTGTAAGTACGGGTGCGCCCCACGCGCCCAGTCATGCTCATTTGCTCACACGCTGACTGGGGATACAAGCGTGGATCAAGAACATTCGCCCAAGTGGAAACAGGGCCAAACAAACTACGTCTGGGAGGTCTCCAGACCCGGCAGGACCTGTGAGGGACCACGCAGCAGGGTGCTGCCACTACAGGGAATCAGAGGAGACTCTGCCCTTGGCCCCGTGCTTGGGGAACCCCGCCAGTTCCTCGGTGGGGGAATTGACTGTACAAGCCCCTGCCGGCTCTGATGAGCACATTCCCAACGGCTGCTCACAGGAGAGACACCCCAGGGTTGCCACGTCTCCCTTCTGCTCCACCAGCCCTGCAGCTCAGTTTCTGCCAAAGAAAGGATGCCTGCCTTCGAGTGGCTGCCATGAAGCTGGGTTTAATTTGCAGGACCAGAAGGGAGAGGCAGGCAAAAACGGCCCGGTCCAGCTGTGCCTTGAAGCCCACAGCTTTCCAGGAATCCTGAGCCTGCAGTTCGAGGGGCTGCGAGGAATCTTCCGCTCAGGCTGCCTCAAAAGCCCAGTATGGGTGTGAGCGTCCAGAGCAGGCCTGTGTCACCTCGCCTCTGCTCAGAGGCCCACCAGAGCTCTCCAAAGCATGAGGGTGGGGAAAGGCCAGACCAATAACAGAAGCCACCTCTACCGGGTAGAAGGGTGGGGATAGATGCTCTCTGAGGTAGAAGGGAAAGCCTCCCCCTCTGTCAGCATGAAGAGGTGGGACGTGGGTGTGTGGATTTGTGTGTGTGTTGAAAACTCAAGAATCTCAGCTGTTACAAAAACCCATGTTTCATGTACAAATCAAGAATTCTGACCTGTGGCACAGCCAACACTATGGTCAGAAGTTATCCCAAGAATGCCAGTCAACAAAATGGGAGTGTCCGAGACTCCACTGGCAGAAGATACCATGCAGGCCTGGCCCAGCATGAAATCCCAGCTGTCAGCCCTAAGGCTCCTGGGGAGGGAAGGATAGAAGAGAGGAAGGAAGAGAAAAGGATAAAAGTGGAGGGGAGAGGAGACAAGTGAGGAGGAGAAAAGGGGAGGGGAGGGGAAGGAGAGGAAGGGAAAGGAGGGGATGGAAGGAAGGAGAGGGTTCAACCCAGCCACAGCCATCAGAATACTACAAATCCCCAGGCACCATGGCAAGGACAGTGCCACAGGAACAGAAGGCAGGAAGCGGGGACATTAGCCAGAAAGAAAATCACACAAGACAAGTGGACCCTGTGTGGGTCAGCGTGCTGGACTCCGGGGCAGAGTCCGACCTACTTGGACTCCGGGATTCTGACAATGCCCGAGGTAGGCTCCTCCAGGCTCCCTCCTCTTCCACTTTTCCACGGGCAGCGGTCCCAGAGGGCAAAGTCTCTGAATGCCCTGGGAATCCCAAGTGATGGCAGAGGGATAAACACCCAGTGTAGTTATTTATAAAGTGTCCCTGTCTGTGCCTTTGCCAAGTGGCTCAAATGGAGCTGAGGAGAATGTCGAGGAAGAAGGAACTCAGAAAGGACAGTGCTTGCTTCCTGCTCCTTCTCTGGTCCTTCCTTTCCTTTGTTTGAAGATAATGGAGCACAGCCTGAGTCAGAGGCCCAGGGGCCCAGCTACCACCCAGCTGGCTGCTTCCGGGGCTCTTTATTTTTGGGGGCAGCTGTGGCCAGCTGGGTGACTCAGCCCTGTGAGTGCTGGGGTTCTTTCGCGCAGCTTCACCCCTGCCACACCAGGAGGCGGCGGCAGAAGCACAGGCGCTGCTCCATGGCAGGGGTGGTGCTCAGCACTCGGTGCTCAGGGCTGACATGGGATCTTACCCCACTCGTGTGGGGAGAAACAGAATGCGAGAACCTCTGACTTCCCACAACAAAGGGGAATCATGTGATTCCAGAGATCCTAGCAGCACCCCCTTATCCTTGGGGGGTCTCTGGGATGATGTGAAAAATTCAGCGGACTGCTTCCTCCTCCAGCGCTCACTCCTGCCTCCAAGCCACCCGTGGAAAAAGTTCAGACCTGTCTCAAGGCCACATGCCCAGAGGGCGAAGGAGAGTGGCCCTTCAGGTAAACTCCATTCCAAGGGCTGTGCGGACCAACCTGGAGTTGCTGCCTGCCTGCCCTGTGATCAGAGACCAGCCTGGCCCAGATTTCCCACTCTGTCCCAGAGATAATGTCCCCCAGGCCCCTTCAGAGAAGGGTAAAGTGAATGAATCTTGTCAAGAGGGATTTGTTTTTTCAGTTGCATTCACTTTTTCTACCCTCTAATGATATAAATGTACATTTTCATTATAGAAAACTTAGAAAATACAGGGTGGCAGGATGAGGATAATAAAATGATATGCACTCTCCCAAAGTATTAACTTTTTGTAAGAAGAACTTGAACCAGACTGCTTTTTGAGAGATCAAGTAACCTTTTCTTCTTCCTCAATTTTCCTGTTTCCGGCCGAACACAAGGGGATAATTATTGAACTCTGATGAGTATTCCCACTCTGGTGTCTGCAGTCAGAGTCCTTGGCACAAACAGGAAATAAAAGAGGACCAGAGGCTAAGTGGTGACTTCAGGAAGTGGCCCTTCCCCCACTGCATGGTGGGGGTCTCCTGATCCCACCCAGCACAGTGCAATAGGCACCCTTCCAGAAAGCCCCACAGCTGGGAGGGGCTGGCAACACCCAGGGCCCTGCACTTCATGAGCACCAGTTGAAGGAGGCGGGTCGGAATCTCGAGCTTCAGGGAAGCTTGCTGACCACCTGGTCCCACTTGGCAAGCCATAATGATCACCGGTCCCCGTTCTGTGCTGGGGACCATGTCATCTGTCACACATTTCCTGGCAGCCTTCGTCCAGGACAGAAAATCTGCTGTCGGCACACATCACTGACCAGAGCTTAGCAAGTGCTTCCTTTCTCTTCTTCTGCCACCCCATGCCTAGTGCCTACCAGGTCTACTCCAACCCGCTCACTTTTCCAGCTCCACTCTTGCTTCTTTTGCCTTCATTCCTTTTCTTTCCCTCATTCCTCATCTCACTCTACCACTGTGTGTGTGGTGGTGGTGGGGGGGGGGGGGGAGGGTTAGGCCACACCTAGCAAGATTCAGGGCAAGTGCTCTGCCCCAAGTGTTCACTTCTTGCCCACTCTTTTTTTTTTTTCCTTTTCTAAAGTTCTCGGGCCACATCTGGTATTGCTCAGAGCTTACTCCTGAATCTGTACTCAGGAATCACTCCTGGTACTTGGGGACCATATGAGATGCCAGGGATCAAACCAAAGGTGGCCACGTGCAAGGCCTGCTGCACTCTCTCTGGCCCTCTGGCCCCTCATTTCCTCATCTCTTGTGTTCAGATTACTCATTACTCACTCACATTCACCCACTCTGACCCTGTCCTCTCACAGCACATCTGGATATCCAATCCTGACCTCCAGACAAATATTTACACACAAAGATATTGTCCACCACAATGTTTAGAGTAAGAAAAAGTTGAAAATAACCTACATGTCAAGAAAAGTAAAGAAAAGGATTAAATATCTTGGGGCACAAATGTCATGCAATATTTCACTATTTCTATTAACTAGCTAACTACACTGCCTTAACCTTGTAAAGATACTGATTTGAAAATATCAAAAACAAAACAAAACAAAACACAAGTCAGAGTCCTGAGTGAAAGTACAGTGAGAAGTCTACCTTGCATGTGGCTGACTGTAGATTGATCCCCCAACATCCCATGTGGTCCTCAATTCACCACAAGAAGTGCTTCCTGAGTTCAGAGTCAGTAGTAAACCCTGAGCATCCCTGGGTGTGGCCTCCAAATTAAAAATAAAATAAACACAAAATGGGGGCTGGAGAGAATAGTATAGGGTTTATTCCTCAGCACCATATACACATGTGTGTGGCTGTACACACACACACACACACACACACACACACACACACAAATAATCCTGAGGGGATAGTGTTGTATGCAAGAGAAGAGTTGAAGTAGGATTCATTTTGAGTTGTCAATTGTTGAATCTAGGTGATGAGTATATGAGTTATACTGTTTCCACTATCTTTGTGCAAGCTGAAAATGTTTCATGATTAAAAAGTTAAAAAGAAAGAAAGAAAACAAACAAACACTGTCCTCCTGTTGTTCATCGATTTGCTCAAGCGGGTCCAGTAACATCTCCATTTTTTTGAGACTTGTTGTTACTGTGTTTGGCATACTGAATACGTCGTGGGTAGCTTGCCAGGCTTTGCCGCATGGGTAGATACTCTCGGTAGCTTGCCAGGTTCTCTGAGAGGGGTGGAGGAATCGAACCCGGCTCGGCAGGGCTGGCTTCATGCAAGGCAAACGCCCTACCGCTGTGCTATCGCTCCAGCCCGTAAGAAAAATGTTATTTTTTTTCTATTATGAAATAAGGGGCCAGAGAGCTAGCATAGGACAAGGAACTTGCCTTGCATGCTGCTGATCTCAGTTCTTTCTCTGGAACTCTGTATAGTCCCCTGAACACTTCCAGGAGTGATCCCTGAGTGCAGAGTCAGAAGTAAGTAATGAGCACAACTAGGCCTGGCAACCCAAACCGAAATGAAAGAAGGTGAAGTTAGTCAAAAATCCAACTATAAATAACTTTGAAACTCATGGTGCTTTAATAAAATAAAATTATGGGAAAAAATAAGATGAAGTTAAGATAAATTAAATCGACATAAAAAGCCCAGAATGGGGCCAGAGAGATAGTACAGGGAGTAAGCTATGTATTCGGCTAAGCCAGCCCCACATAAGCCTTCTTCCCGCTACACCCAGAACTACTAGGAGTCACCCTTGAACACAGAGTCAGGAGTACCTGCACACCGCTGACTGTGGCACCAAAACCAAAAGTAAAAGCCGAGAATTGACTGGAAAAGAGAAGAAGATTCCTGTGTTGGAATCCTTACCTAAACTTTGTGCTCATATGTGGAGGGGTGGGCCAAAGACCCTCTCCAAACTAGGGGCTCCAAAGCCAGCAGGACGCTACCTGAGTGAGCGTCCAGTAAATGCTCAGCCACGGCCTGAACCCTGTAGGCCTATACTCTCGTAGATATGAGAACTCACAATTGCAACTGTTGAGTACTGTGACAGAGCTTCATAAAATCTCCTTAAAAGCCACACAGCAGTCACATTGATAAGGGTGGTGGGTTCACTTTTAGAGAAAAGGAAATGGCTGCTGTCCTAATGCTGCAGCAGGTGACCCTGTGGCAGAAGACAAACTTTTCCCTGGTAGCATCACACATGTAGAGGAAGAGGGCAGTATAGTATCTTGAACATGGAGAAGAAAGTGATTGTACTGTGCTCTGGGGAACTGGGCCATGTTCATAGGGACATAACACCAAAAGTATGGATGAGTAAGGTGTCCCATGTAACTGGGGCATGGAGCAGGAACAACCAACATGACCACAGAAGACCAAAATTTTGGGGACCTGTGGATGGGGCGTTTACATTGCATGCAGCCAACTTAGATTCGATCCCTGGCATCCCATATGGTTCCCTGAGCACTGCCAGGAGTAATTCCTGAGAGCAGAGCCAGAAGTAACCCCATGTGCATCGTCAGGTGTTATTCCCTCTCCACTAAAAAAAAAAGAAAGAAAAAGAAACCAGCATTTTCTGTAGCATGGGATACAAAAAGGTGTGTGCATCTAAATTAGTACCTAAGTATTATCACTAGCTATGTGACTACTTCCCTACCTATATCCCTAAATGCTGGTAGAAACCCAGCTCTGGATTTCCTCAGTCAGCCTGCCTCATGAGGAAGGGACTTGGCCAGGCTTACCAACACTTACCTGAAGAACAGCCCTTCTAGGGGGTTCTGTGGCTCCAGGTGTGAACAGTCCAGGATACAAGACTGGGGGTGCTGCCTGGGCAGAAACACAGTTTCGCCCGGATGTACTGTTGGGATGGCCTGCAGTGACACAGAGAACCTTTCCAAAAGCAACCTGGAAAAGGAAGGGTAGCAGAGCCAGGGGTCAGTAGCCGCACCTGCTCCCCAGGGAGGCTGGGAAGGCCAGAGGCTGCCAGTCCAACAGCCCGGCCAGACCCAGTAGCAGGGAGACCAGGGGGGCAGCGCCACCTGCTGATGGTTCTAGAACTCATGAGAGGCCATCACCCACTCCCACCCCCACAGGGCCTGAGGACCTCAGTCCAGAAGCCTGAAGCCCAGGTTCCCAGCCCAATCCCACCTTTCAGCTCTGCTCAATTCAAATTCTGAGTACCATCATGTGTGGGTGCTAGGGGGTGTGGGCTGACCTTGCACCTCAGGGCAAGTGAAAACAAACTGCAATCAGGCACTGTCTTAGAGAAGCATGGGGAAGAGAGGAGAGAGGAGAGAAGGGGGTGAGGGCAGGCAGTGACTGGGAAGGGTTTGGACAATGGGACTGGCCTTAGGCTGGACATCCATCTTCCAGCCCCAGTGATAGCAAAGTGCAGGCAGCAGGGCCCACCCAACCCCGGCCGACTGATTTAGCACCAGGACCATGGGCCCCACAGAGAGGAATGAATAGGGAGAAGAGAGGGCTCCAGTGTTCCAGCTAGGGTGGGAAGGGGCAGTAACGGCAGGACTCACATGACCCACTTATGAGGGAATTGAGAAACGGGAATGGAGTGGGGAGGAGCCAGAGGGTTGGCAGTTAAAATGAGGCAAAGCTCTGTGCCAAGGAAGACAGGGAAAATTACCTGCCCACAGGCCAGAGCTCGGTGGGTGAGAACAGCAAGACGCAGAAAAGGAAGTGTGTGTGTGTGTGTGTGTGTGTGTGTGTGAGAGAGAGAGAGAGAGAGAGAGAGAGAGAGAGAGAGAGGAAGAGAGAGAGGAAGAGAGAGAGTGTGTGCACGCGCATACACAGACGCATGCACACATGCATCTTTAAAACCCAACTATGATCTGAAATCATCGCTGGAGGACAGGATCTGCGGGAAGGGAAGGAAAAGGAGCCATTTCCTGTTTATATCAGACAACTGTGCTCTGTTCCACTCTGTCCTACTATAACATGCATCCAATGACAGCACCACAATAAAACAAACTATATGAGCACTGTACCTCTGCTCCTCCCCCAGAGAACTCACTGAGACTCAGGGCCTGCCCCTGAGACTGGGAGCCAAGAGCTCCCCTAGGTCCTGAAGGTGAGGCCACAGGCCCTAGAGGTGGGTCATGTGGAAAAGTGAAAGACACACTTTCCAGACCAGGGACCCAAGGCGAAGGTGGACCCACATCAGAGCCCGTGCTAAGGATAAAGCAGCATATCTTGTGGGAAAGACATAGAAAACCAGGGAGCTTCGAGTCCCACTGCCTTCTGGAAATAGCCACAGCAAAGCTACACACATTGACAAAGCTGCTTTCTGTTTTGTTCCTTTCCTTGCCACTCTGAATTTTAGAGTGACTTCTTGGGCTGCTTTTATAATGAAAGTAGAAAAAAGCGCACATTGTTAAGTCTTGAGGAATGAGGCTCATCCAGACAAGGGTCTTAGCCCTGTCCCCAAAGTCACCATTCAACGGGAAGTTTGTGATATTAAATATAAGTCGAGCGCACTATGAAGAGGTCAGAGTTGACTCCCACATCTAATTGAGAATTTCCTGCGCAACCTAAAACTGGGAGATAAAGGACGATGTTGTGGTCTGAATCCCTCGCACCCCTGCCCCAGCAGACACAAAGGCTTTAAATGGCATTCAAGATACTGATGCTCATCCTGCTTGGGGGGCACAGGGTCCTTTCTACAGTACCACACTGTGGCAGTCATGTGACTCCTGGACAGAGCAGACTTGTTGGCAAGACTATGGCTGGTCCCTAGTCTCAGACCCATACCCCTCCCGGGATCTGCCCCTTCTCCAGGCCCCACTGAAGAATGGAAGGGGCTGCTGGCTTTGTACATCAATGAGTAATTTTCTTTGAAGCAGAGAGCTGAACAGTGCCATCAAACTGATCCACATCAAAACAACCACCTCAAAGTGGTTGTTGTCAAAAAGCCTTTCTCAACGTACTACTTGAAAATGTCACATGCCCAGAAAATTATCAACGATTTCAAAGCCATGGACACCTTCTTAAGCTGCATGCCCAAAGTGCTCCCTTTCTGGGGATAGTGTGTGTGTAGGGGGAATGGGGGGGAGGATTTAAACTCTTGAAATCTTGGATGTGCTCCCACATTCTTGAATGTGCTCAGCAGAAAGGCAATGAGCTAAAATGTGTCCCTACTACAGAGATTTTACAAAGGACTTTTAAATTCATCCAGTGAATGAAGGGCCTGGAAACCAAATCCATATGCTTCAGCATAAAAAAGAAGATGCTTTTCTGTGTGTGCACGATGCCAGGGACAGAACCCAGAACCTCATACACTCAAGGCAAGCGCTCTACTGCTGAGACACATTCCCAAGAAAACCACTTTTATCACGAAGCCATCCGGGCCTGTAGTCGAAGCCCGACAATTCGGCCTGGATGTGGTGTGGCAGCCTTGTCCCCACTTGCTGTCCTAAGAGCCACAAGGGCTGCACATGGCCTCCTCTTCCTGGACCCCTGGGAGATGTGTGCATAGTCTCTGCCTGGCTGCTCCGATTTAAACATCCACAGACATTCACAGAATAAATGGTATCAGTTAGGAGACCTCAGGGGTGGGGCTTCTTCCTGAGCTAGACAAGGGGTGGGGAACCACAGGTGGCCGGTGCCTGCCTGTTCCTGCAGACAAGATCTCATTGCCAATTGTCACTCTGGGTAGATGCAACAGTGTGTGGGTTGTACAAATACAACAGAGACTGTGGCCTCAAAGACTGAAGCATTTACTATCTTTTAATTTTGTTTGTTTTCTGAGCCATTCCCTGTGGTGCTCACAGTTTACTCCAGGCTTGGTACTTGGGGATCACTCCCAGAGATGCTCAGAGATGTGCCAGGGATGGAATCTGGGACTCCAGCATGCAAAGCACATGCCCTGTCTAGCCCTCCAGGCTCTCTCCCCAACCTCTTACATCTATTTACTGATTCTTGATGTAGTTCAGAGACGCTTATTAGAAAAGTTTAAGAAAAAAGTAATAGTTAACTATTGGGCAACAACAATATAAAGCCTGTTTCAATCCTAAAAGGAGAAGCCTTGCGAAATCTGTCTCAATCAACAACCCCTTCTACGGAGCTGCAGAATACCAACATCGAGTGTGCGTCAACACCTGATCCAATAGTTAATGGGACCAGAGAGACAGTACAGTGGGTAGGGCACTTGCTTGGCATACGACCAACACAGGGTTGATTCCTGGCACTACATATGGTTCCCCAAATCACCAAGGGTGACCCCTGGGCACAGTCAGAAATAGCCCCTGAGCATGGCTGGGTATGGTCCCAACTCCCCCTATCTTGACCAAAAGGGGCTTTTTCTGGAGACCACAAAGGGCCCACCTGCCCCCGGCACCTGGCCAAGGTCTCCTCCCCAAGGGCCACACTAGCACTTAGAATGCCTGCACACCCCTCCCCCTAACATCCCTGCCCCCCACCCCAGCAGCATCAACTCTGTCCCATCAGCCCACCCCTTCAGCTCCTGTCCATTGTTCTTTGATGACGTTCCCTTCAGTCTAGTCTAGTCAGGGTGGCCCCCACAGTCCAGCAGCACTGCTATGGCCAAGGTCACCAAGGTCCCTGCCTTGTCAGTACCAAGCCTGGTCCTCTCCCCCCGACCCACTGTCTGGCATGTTCTTCGCTCTGCTCCCGGGACTGGCTTTCCTGCAACCTGCCTGCTCTCCTGGCTGTTTCCTCTTTCTGAATGCACCCCTGCTTTTGGCACTTTCTCCCTGAACCCGCCCACCTGTGCTCTCTGGTTTTGTGGTTTTAAACGGCATCTGTACTGGTGACTCCCAGCTTGTCTCTGCATGTGACAATCTCCAAAGTCACCTGCTTGATCATGCCCCTGGAATCCCCCCAAAGAGCCTCGATATTATGCCAGCACCCTTCTCTGGCCCAGCTTTCGTCACTCTGTCCCATCCCCGTTTAAAGATAGCGCCCACCTTCCTGCTGCTCCCTTTGGTTCCTTTCTCCCTTCCACGTCCTCCAACTGGCTCATCAACAAGTCTCATCAGCTCTAGCTTGAAAACACTCTGAACGTGCTCCCCTCCCCCCCCCATTTCCGCCCTCAGCCACCCATGCCCCAGTTAGTGCTGGGTCCTCCTGTGGCCCATGACCCTGTGGTGGCTGAGAGTAGAGGTTCAGATGAACAGCAACCAGCACCTTTGGAAGGAAAGCTCTAGCACGAAGCACCCCACCTGGCCCTCCTTGCTGCCCAGCCTGCCTCGAGCCTCTCCCAGGGCTCTGATTCAAAGTCATTTGTTCAGTGAGGAAGTTCAGGGATAAGCTGCTTGCCTTGGGTGTGACTGACACCATCAGTTCCATCCCTAGCACTGCATCATCTCTAGGCCTCAAACCAACAGCCCGCTGGCAGCAGGAGGGGTCCCTAGGGCTCCGGAATACTGCTTGGGCATCCCTTTGCCTCCCAAAAGAAGTCATGTGCTCACACAGGTCTTCCCTGACCTCTCACCCAAACCTTCAACCACCTCCAGCATCTGTCTGCCCCTCCCTGTTCTATCCTGCTCCTCAGCACCCATCACCCCAGCTCCCATCGTCTGGTTCCCTCCCCTGTAAAGCCTTGTAAGAGCAGACACCCGACTGCTTCTGTCCCTGCCAGATTCCAGAGCCCCAACAGTGCAGCACAAAGGCAGTGAGTGAAGGGGGCAGGTGGCTGAGAGCTGCTCACAGGTGACTGGACTTCATCTCTGAGACTCAGGTACAGAAAAGTCCAGACCCCCCGCCCCCCCTCCCACCCACCCCAGTCAGTGCCCAACAGAGAGCACTGAGAGAAGCACCATCTCCTATCCCAGGAAAGGAGAAAGACTGCATGGCCATGTGCTCCGCACTCAAGCTATCAAGTTCAGACCTTTGATTGTGTCGTCCCCTCTCAGACCACCTGCCCCCACAGACTGGGCACACAGGGGCCAGAGCAGGCATGTTTGCTCTCTCCTTTTCCTCCCTCTCCCTTTTCTTGGAAATTGCAAGCGATCCAAGCCTCCGATCAAGACAGCAAAACTACGGGATTCTGGAGCTGTGGCGCCCGGAGAAACCATGAGTGTAAGGTTATCGCGGAGTATAGACAGGTTAAGTAGCCTGTCGTTGGGAGACTCGGCACCTGAACGCAAGTCCCCTTCCCACCAGCGCCACTTTCTAGTGAAGCGAGATATTTTGATGTAGGAAATGTGAAAGAGGAGAAAGGAGAGGGACAGGAGAGATGCATTCAGGAAAGACTATGGCCTTCTGCAGGGAACAGAGTGAGCCCCACTGAGTAAAAGACAAGCTGAGTACCCCAGGTTAGGATGCAGCACCCCTAGAAATGGAGTGCACCCAGCAGCATAGGAAAGAATTAGGCACCAGCACAGAGGGGTGTGGGCTACTCCCAAGGAGTGAGCCTCCTGGGAGTCTCCCATCTCCCTCAGGGGTCCGCTCCGGCCCTGCTCAGAGCAGTGAGCAAATCTCGGTGGAATCCATGAATGAAGGTGGGCTCAGGAGACCACCTAAAAGCGTCCGCCAGGACTGGTGCTGGCTGAAATGGAGGACACTGAAATCCTTCGCCTGGAGAGGCCACAGGGGACCTTGCTGGTGGACAGGCCCTGGGCTCCTCACCTGTGCTCATGTGTGAGAGACACTTCATCTTCCTCAAGATCCAGCGAGTTGATGTCCGGGCACTCCTGCAGAAGCAGCTTCTCCCGTTCCTGTTCCGGAGCCTGTTCCCTGCAGGGAGAGGTCAGTGCCCTGCCTGGGCTGCGGGGATCCCAAGCACACGGCCAGGCCTAGGAGCAGATGGTGGGCCAGGAGTTGTACTGCCTGGCCTCTCTGCACCCGGGCTCCCAAACTCGGACCCGGGGGGGATGAGGGAGGCGGCAGGTGCACGGCAACAACAGTGGGTCTGCGAAGGGCTGAGACGAGCCACTCAGACGGGTCCTCACAATGGGCCTCGCCTTGGCCCTGGCTCACTTGCTCACACATTCTGTGCCTTCCACTCTGCTCCTCCCCAGGTCCTGCCACATTGAGCGGGTGGCACCCTATGCCCTCTGCTTCTTGGAGACCCCGACAGGCCTGCCTCTGAGTTCTGAATGGAGTCCTCCAGTCCCTGTTCCTTCCCTTTCCTTTCCTCGGCTCTGCTTTTCACCCCCAGGTCCAGAGTACCTATTTTCTCCCACTAGCTCCTGAGCACCTTGTCTCCTTTGCTCCCAGCCCTGCCTGCCCTCCTGAGCCCCTGCGCCCCTGTACCCCCTCCTTCTCCCACTGACCATCCCAAATCATCCTCTCTGTGCTTGTGCTGTCCTTGTTCTGCTTCTCCAAGGCTCATGTGGCTCAGCCCACGGGTGCCCTGTTCTCAGCCCAGACCCTCCCCGGGCCGGATATTCCCCGTGCCTCTGGCCCCACAAGTCCAAGTCTGAATTCCTCTTCTCCACACACACCCCAGTGTCCCAGCCACCAGGCCTATATACTCCTCTGCAGCCCCATCACCTTCTTGCCTGGTGTTCTCATGACCACTCACCTGACTTCCTCTCACCCTTCCCTTCCCTCCTCCTTAACGGAGCCCGAGTGAGTGATCTTTCTTAAATACATGAGAAAGCACCACCCTACCCGTTTACAGTATGTTTTGGAGACGCCCACATGATCTAGCTCCCATCATTCTCGGCTGTATGTCCTGTTGTTTACACCCTGAAGCCCTTATTTGCCAGAACCATGAGTTCCAGTCCTTGCCAGCCACCAGAATTTCTGTCCTCTCTCTGTATCAAATCCTTTGTAGTTAATTCCTGTCACTTGCTTGCCCTGCCCCAAATCTTGTCCTTCCAGATTCAAGGACAAGGGCATTCCTAGGGAGTCCTGGCTGATGACAAGTTAGATACACTATTTTGAGCAATTTTACAGCTTGGTAAACATTAAAACAGTTCCAGGAGAGCAGCATGACACCATCAGCCCTGAATCTTCAGTGCCCAGCAGAGAGCCCAGTGAAGAGCAGGAAATGCCCAATGCTGGGGGGATGCTGATGAGTAGGCTGAGTGGTTCCCCACAAGAGTTCATGTTTCTGCTGACACTTTCAAGCCTTTACTATATTTCCAGCACAGTTCTGGGCTCTGTGGAAATAAAGAGTTGTGGCTCCTTTCCTAACTTAGAACGTTTCTGGGAGAAAAATGACTCAAGTATAGCAGCTATAATAGAGGGTGATGATGATAGAGTGAGTTTGAGGGCCACAAATGAACAAAGAATTTAAAAACAATGATTCTCCTCCACTCACATGTTTAACTCTGTCCGCTCAGCACGGACACTGGGTTTGTGGGGAAACCAGAGACAAGGGAGGCATTATTCACCCCAGCAGGAGAGGAGAGACAAGAACCCAAGCAGGAAACAATAGCACTGCCTCTGCTGACACTTAATTGGACTGTGTGTATACCAGGCAAATGTGAAATAGGAGGAGGAGGAGAGAGCACAGAGAATAAAGAAGGTGAGCAATGTTTTCATGCTCCATCAAAGGGCATGTCCAGGAGTAAAGTTAACCCAACCACAGAAGTGCGCTGGCCTGGCTGGTCCCAGCGCCTGCAGGTCCCAGCCTCGAGCAGTGTGAGGAGTCCACTGTGTGGAGAGTAATTCTAGTTCCTTCATTTAAAAAATTTTAATGTTCATGGCAATTTGGATTGTATGGTTACAGTGGATTCTAGCTTGCTCACACAAAATTGGTCCTGAGTGTGAGCTGGCCACTTCTGGCCCACAAGAAACGTGCGCCAGACTATCTCTGCCTCCTAAAGGATCACCCATTCTCATCAACTGGGCCTTCACTCTAAGAAACCAGCATCTAAAAAAATAAAATAAAGAAACCAGCATCTACTTGTGTTTCTAGGAAGTAGCAGGAGAAGGCAGAAATGAGTTAAGGGCTGTGAGAAAATGCCGTGCTCATGTGCTGTGCATTCCAGGGCAGAAGGAAAGACCAATGCTTCACACGTCACTCTCAAGGCACACCTTTGCTCAAGCTTTGTTTTCCCCGTTTCCTTCTAATAGATTTTTTTGTTTTGCTTTTTGTGTCACACCCAGTGATGTTCAGGGGTTACTCCTGGCTCTGCACACAGGAATTACTCCTGGCGGTGCTTGGGGGACCATATGGGATGCTGGGAATCGAACCCAGGTCAGCTGCATGCAAGGCAAATGCCCTACCCGCTGTACTATCACTCCAGCCCCTCTAATAGAATATTTGAATAAGTTGAGAGACCTCAAAACTGTCATGAACTGAGCAGAACAGAGACAGGTGGAGAGAGGACCACTGCAAAGGTCAGCTGTATGTGGTGGGGTCTGCCATAGAGAGTCCCAAGTTGATCTCACTCATTCTTGACAAGAGCACACAAGAGGACTGAAGGGAGCGGTTCTATTCTTCAACAAATGTGCTCAGTGTCTCAGAGGGTGATCCTGCAGATATGTCCACCACATGCACTTTTCCCACACTCACCTCTTCTCCTGCAGTAAGTAATCTAAGCTATTGACGTAGCTTTCTGAGCTCCCCGAGGTGAACTGGAGAAACAGTGTGAAAGGGAAAGAAAGAAAAGGGGAGGGAAATAATAACATATAATTTTAAGTTAAATCTTTATTTTTCTTAACAGGCAATTCATTCACATGAAAAAAAAAACAAAACAATCAAAATGTCTAAAGTCATAGAGTGCTGCCCCCTCATCTGTGGTTTCAGTTAGCCAAGGTCAAATGTAGTCTGAAAGTAGTACATACAATAAAATGCTCTTCTGCTTTCCTTTTAAAATTTTGTTTTGATTTGTTTTGTTTTGTTTTGGGCAACACACCCAGCACTACTCAGGGCTTATTCCTGATCTGTGACTAAGGATCACTACTGAGAGTACCTGGAGACCATATGAGATGTTAGGGATCAAAGTGGGGTTAGCTGCACGTAAGGCAAGCTGCATCATAACCCCTATACCATCTCTCTGGCCGCAATAAGATGTTCTGAGAGAGACTACAATCACATAACTTTTATCATAGCATATTGTTCTAATTGTTCTATTTGATTACTTTTTTTGTTTGTTTTGTCTTTGGACCAGACCCAGCGGTACTCAGGGGTTACTCCTGGCTTTGCATGCAATAATTACTCTGTGCAAGGCTAATGCCCTACCTGCTGGCCCCTATATTATAGTTTTTATTCTCTTAATGTGCTTAATTTAAGTTAAAACTTCATCATAGGTATATACAGAATAGTATCTATACATCATGGTATCTATAGCATTTGGTACCAGTCACAGTTTCAGATACCACAGGGGTCATGAAACATACCTCTCATGGAGAAGGAGGAGGAGGACCACTGTTGACCTCTTATCTATCCACCTCCAACCACATGGTAACCTAGTGAGTTCAATCCTATTTCAAAGCGATTAATACTTAGATATAAAAACAATTTATCATAAACCACACTTGCTTCACTTAACACAAATAATGGCACACTCTCACTCCGAGTTTTGCTCTTTTCAACTTCAAATTGCCTTGAGGATTAAGTCCATATTAACACTAAACAGAGAATTTTGAGAGTCTTTTTGTTCAGGATAGTCTGATATGACAGGAGTGTGTATTTATGAGTTTCCTACTAATTATAATCAGGTCGTCAACACTCTTGGCTATTATAAACAACCAAACTCCTGTTCTTCAAATCCATTTCTTGAATCTATGGGCTCTTAAAACTCCCCACTGTTCACCTAGCCACAGCAGCTGACTTCCAGCTAGAAGCGCCTCACTGCCATTTGCATGTGGAAACCCCAACCACCAGACTCAAGTCAGCCCAAGCTGGAACCTAGACCTGGGCTTGGGCCTCACCACTAAGGGCACTGAGCTCTTTTCCCCTGGGCCATCATCCAAGCTTTACCCATGAAAGTTGCGAGGGCCACACAGGAAGGGCATCAAACAAGGTGTCATTCCCAAGCCATCTGTGAGTGGAAGTACATGGAGAGACCACGGACCAAAGCTCCTAAGTACCAGGGCCAAGAGCTGGAGAGAGGTTGGGGTGACAGATCAGGGAGGTAGCTAAGCAGGGCAGGTGGGGCATGGCTGAAAAATGGCAAAAAAGAGGTTGTCTAGGGGTCACTGAGGCGGGATATCCATGAACGCAGAGGAGGGCAGCCATAGAGTGGCCACTGGCTTACCAAGTCTTGGGAGCTCCCTGGCAGGGCTGCAGCCTTCTGATTCGGGCAGGCCAGGTTCAGGAAGAGCTCCTCCAATGAGTCTAGGCTCCTCTTGGGGTCCGAGGTCTGCTGTTTGGATGCTAACTTCTCAGGCAGCTGGTGGGCCAGTCTCCTCAGATCCTGGGGTCCTGCTGCACCCTTGGCTGGTGGGTTCAGGAACTCAATAGGTGGCGGACTCCAGTCAGTGGGGAACACATCCCCTGTGGCCTGCATCTTGGGCTTCTTGGGCAGTTTGGATGCTGTAGCTGAGGTGGGGCTGCAGAGGCGCCGGGTGGGCCGGATGAGTCCCTGGTGCAGGGAATGCTTATAAAAGCACTTAAGGTGTGGCAGAAGGATGGGCACCGTCAAGGTGGACTGAGTGCCTGTGGATGAGATAGACAGACTGTGGGAATCCCACCCATCACCCTCCCAGCATGGACACCACAAGAGGCATGTCAGGGGCCGCTCCAGGCACTCCGGGCAAGGAGTGAGGCTCCTCTACTCCCTTGTGGCCCAAGTCCTGAACAGAGGCCTGTGTGCAGTGTGAACACCCCCCTTTCTATGCGGAAGGGCCCCTGTGTAGGGTGGACACCCACTTCCCCCTTACAAAGGGGTCCCTGTGTAGTACTGGCACCCACCTCCCCACTGTGGAAGGACCCCTCTGTAGTGTGGACACCCATCTCTCCACTGTGGAAAGAGCCCCTGTGTAACGTGGACACCTACCTTCCTCCTGAGATAGGGCTGGTACTGTCTCCTGGAGCCTGGCCATATGCACACGGCCACTGCTGAAAAGAGAAAGTGTGTGGGTGAAGCAGGCCTCCAGAAGGTGAGATCCAAGCCTATGGATGCCAGAAGGTGCCCTGTCCACCCCTCCCCAGGACCCCGCTTGTGCACCACTGAGTTCCTCAGGTGAAAGGGGCTCCTTAATCCAAAGGTATGCTGGGCAGTTATGGGGAGAAATCACCATTTCTTCAACCAATAGAAGATTCAGTCAGTCTCAGCAGGAGAGCTGTGCTCCGGGACCCCATCATGCCCATCTTCTGGTTCAGCCCCTGGTGAGGCTGCATCTTTGCAGGCAGGGCAAAGGCTTTCCAGTCCCAGCCTCTCCCCAGAGCCAGCACCAGCCAGTTCATCAGGCCTTGCCGAAGAAGAGCAGAGGTCCCAGGGTGAGGGCAGGGGAGCACGAGAAGGTTCCAGTGGCAGAGCGCATAACCAGCACCACAAGCTCCTGAATTCCATTCTGGCACTGCAATGACATTCTGGCACTGCTATATCAGGGTATAGCCCTAGTGACTCCCAAGACACCATCAAGCACCAAACTATCAGTCCTGCACTGCCATAAGAATATCTCCAGGTTGGCCCTGGTTTTGCTTTTGTTTTTGGGCCACACCAAACTGTGCTCAAGCAATGGTGGTGGCTGGGGTTGGGGGTGGGTGCATGTGGCACCAGGAATTGAAGCCAGGTCTCGTACATGCCAGCATGCAAAGCATGAGCTCAGCCCCTTGAGCTCTCTCTTGCTCTGTGGATCCTGTTTATAGTTTGAATGCAGTGTCTATCAGAACCTTAATTACATTTGAAGGTGGAGGGACCACACTTGGAAGTGTTCAAAGTCTACTACTCCCAGTGGTGCTTGGGAGCAACCCTGAGAGTTACGGGAGGTGGGGGGTGGGGTTGTGTAATGATGGGAACTGAAACTGCATGCAGGCAAGCATGTTTCTGGATGGTCTTATTTGGATGGTTTTGGAGTCATAACTGGCAGTGCTCAGGGACTAGTCTGGACTATGTTCAGGAATTATCCCTGGTAGTGCTGAAAAATTAGCACTAGAGTTGGTCACATGCAAAGTATGTTACCTCTTGTACTATCTCTTGGGCTCCAACCAATTACATTTTTTGTAGGACTGGAAAATTGAATCCTGAAGTTCACAAGGTATCAAGTCATTTTGAAAAAAGAGAGCTGAAGGGGTCATTTAATCTAGAAATGTACACCAATCAAAACAAGGTTGTATTAGCTTAGGAATGGATAATTTGTCAATGGAATAAAACTGAGATTCCAGAAATAAAACATCTACATCTATGACACATTGATTTTCCATAGAGTACCATGATAGTTTTCACCATTAATGGGGAAAAAATTTCCTTTACAGAAGTACTGGTACTACTGGACATCTAATTTTGAAAAGAGTGGCACTGGTTGTTGCCTCACCAGATACTATATCTGATAACTAGCTCTATGTAAAAACCCTAAACTGTAAGAACTAAAACGATATGTCTGAGGGGAAAGGAAAGTAAATATGACCAACAGCACAGGCAAAAAAGGAAAAAAATTAATTGGACTTGATCAAAAGTTAAAACTTGTGCCTCAAAGGACAAGTAAGTAAAGAGACATTTTGTAAAATGGGATAAAAGATCGGCAAATTGTAAATTTGGTAAGATTCTAGTATCCAAAATAAATGAAGAATTCTATATCTCAACAAAAGAGGCCAAGGGGGCTGGAGCGATAGCACAGCGGGTAGGGCGTTTGCCTTGCACGCAGCCAAGATAGCAGATATAGGTTCGATTCCCAGCATCCCATATGGTTCCCCGAGCACCACCAGGAGTGATTCCTGAGTGCATGAGCCAGGAGTAACCCCTGAGCATCGCTGGGTGTGACCCAAAAAAGCAAGAAAAAAATTTTTTTAAAAATTACACAAAAGAGGCCAAACACTTGTAATTAAATAAAATGTAAGCAAGGGCCAGGGAGATAACTCAAAGGGCTGAAGTACAGGCTTTGCAAATGGGAGCCCACAACACTTCAGGGAGCAATCCCTAAATACCAAGCTGGAACCCCCAAGTACTGCTTAGAGGTGGCCCCCAAACTAAATTATTAAATAAATAAAACAGAAGCATAAGACTTAAACATATATTCTCCAAAAATAGATATGCAAATGATCAGCAAGAATATGAAAAAAATCCTAAATGTCATTAGTCACTACATACAGTGAATGGTGAAATTTCAAACTAGAAGCACAATGAGGGTCCCTAAGGGTGTGTTCAGTGGAAGAGCACATGCTTTGCATATAAGACCTATGAGTTCAATCCTTGTAACTACCCCTCCCATCATCAAGTGTGATGCTTAATACTGCTGCCATGTCCCCGAGGACCGTGAATTCCATTCCCAATACTCCACACAAAGAGTACTACTCCTGAATACCAGTGTCACAAAATAGGGAAAGCGAGGTCAGAGAGAGAGAGAGCTCACGGGCTAAGCAGCAGGTCCAGAGAGAGAGAGCACGCGGTCCAACCGGGCCCAGGGAAAATACATAGGCTAAGGCTCTTGCCCTGCAGGCAGTTGAGCCCAGTTCACTCCTGGAACCACATGTGGTCCCCTGAGTACTGTTCTCTTAAGCAGGGGAGTGGGTGAGGAGAAAGAAAAGGGAAGAAAAATAATAGTGAGATGTCACATCTCACCTAGCAGAACATTAAAAAAAAAAGAGGGGGACAGGGTGATAGCTCAAAGGCCTATCATAAAACTATACTCATGCTGTAGCCCTGAGTTTGTTCCTGTGTCATATAGGATCCTCCAAGAACTACCAGGAGCAATCTCCAAGCACCACTAAAAACAAAAATAAAAAGTCCTGTGATCCAAGAGAGAGAACAGCTGGTAGTGCATTGCCTTGCATGGCTGATCCTGGTTCAATTCCCAGAACCCTATATGGTTCCTTGAGCCCTGCAAGGAGTGATCACAGAGCACAGATCCAGGAGTAATCCCTGAGCACTGCCAGGTAAAGTCCCCAAACCAAACCAAACAAGTATATGAGCTAGTGAGAGCTGGAGAACTGGAATCTTCCCACACGGCTAGTGTAAATATAGAATGATGCAGTTGTTGTGGAAGACAGTTTAACAATTTCTCAGAAAGTCAAACAAAACTGCCATATGACCTGGCTTATGGAACTGTATATTCCACTCCAAGGAATATACCTAAAAGCTATAAAAACCTTTTATATGGGGCCAAAGAGACAGTATAGTAAGTGGGATGTGCCAACTCTAGTTCAATCCCTGGAATGGCATATTATTCTCTGAGCTGCCAGGGATGATCCCTGAGCTCAGAGCCAGGAGTAAGCCTTGAGCACTGCTGGGTGTAACCCAAAAGCCAGAAAATAAAATAAATAAGAAAAAAAAGGTACGAAAACAGGTATCACACAAATCCTTTAACAAAAATATTTGTGATGATACTAGTCACCAAGCTAAAATGTGGAAACAAAAATATGTTCATTAACTGTTGAATGGATAAACAAAATGTGGTCTACCCATGTGAAGGAATTTAACTAAGGCACAAAAAAGAATGAGGTGCTGGAGAACTAGTACAGCAGGTAGGGCACTTGCCTTGATTACAGTCTATTGAAGTTCTATCCCTGGCATCCCATATGGTCCCCCAAGGTCCTGCCAAGAGTGATCTCTGAATGCAGAGCAGGAGCAATCTCTGAGCACTACCAAGTGTGGTCCCCAAACTAAAACAAACTAAACTAAAAACACAAAAAAGAATAATACCTATAACAATAGATAAACCACAAAAACTTTGTTAAGTGAAAGAAACCAGACACAAAATTGTATTGTGTGATTGTGTACATATATGTTTATATACCTAAGTTTATGTCATTATATACAAATGCCCAAAATAGGCAATCCTCATAGAAACACAAAGTCTGTTAGTGATTACCAAGTATGGGCAGAAAGGAGGAACAGAGGGTAATGCTAATGGTACAGGGTTGCTTTTAGAATCATAGAAATGTTACAGAGGCAGACAGTGGTAATGGCCACATAGCCTGGGTATGTACTAAATACCACTAAATAACATTTTAAAATGGCTAAAATGATAATTTTTACGTGATGTGCACATTACCATAAAAAAGTCATAATAATATCAAAATGGATTAAAGACCTTAACATCAGACCAGACACCATAAGGTACATTGAAGACAAAGTTGGCAAAACCCTCCATGACATTGAGGCTAATGGTACTTTCAAAGATGCCACGCCACTGGCCGAGCAAGTAAAAACAGAGATAGATAAATGGGACTATCTTAAACTAAGAAGCTTCTGCACCTCCAAAGAAACAGTGACCAAAAAACAAAGACAGTCTACAGAATGGGAAAGGATATTCACCGAATACACATCTGACAAGGGGTTGATATCAAGGATATACAAAGTACTGGTTGAACTCCACAAGAAGAAAACATCCAACCCCATCAAAAAATGGGGCAATGAAATGAACAGAAACTTTCTCAAAGAAGAAATCCGAATGGCAAAAAAGCACATGAGAAAATGCTCTA